TGGAGCATCCTAGGATGGTTTTCGCTGCTTTCATCTGCGCCGCCTCGAGTTCTTTCACTACCTTCTTATTTCCTTCCCATACTTCTCCGGCGTACTCTAGCGGCGGTATGATTACGCTCTTCAAAACCGTCAATTTGATGCGTGTATCGAGGTGCCGGTTTGCGAGTATTGGATGCAGCTTCCCTGCTCGTGCTTTGTCCTTTTCCGCTACCTTGGACATGTGTGCATTCCACGAGCAGCAGTCTATTGTGGGGGGAGTACTTGTTAGCCCTGGGAGGACCCGTTTGAAAATATTTACCCTTATTCAGGGGGTGCGCCTATCCTGCCACAGGACTTGTGCCAAATTACCCCACCACCATGATGAACCTCGCACCACTGTACACAAGGCTCCGATGGCAGACAAGAACCGTACAGTTGAATTTTGAAGTTGATGCACGCACAACACACAACACACAGCAGCTCTGTACCATTGCAGCACAGCAGCCAAGGCACACGTCACAAGGGGGGGGACGGACCTGCTAAAGCAATATTGATGGACGTACAGCATTATAACCTGTAGTAACGGCTGCAGTAACTGAAGAATTGATCACGCCATGCATAATCAAACAGACGCCGACTAACGGACACGGCGCATCTAAATGCGGAGCACATAGTGCATGCACGGAACCGCACGAAGATATACGGAATGTATGCGTATGTACAGTATTTACCTCTTCGAAGTTCATCCGCATGCGATGCATCTCTCGCGCATTGCACAGCAAAGAATGTTCTGCTTGTAGACTGGGAAGGCGACTTTTCCGCTTGACTTGCGTGGGGCTGTGTGGAGGGATTTGTTGACTTATTCCCCACCGCGACTGCTGCTGCTGCGGTGTGTGTGCTATGTACTGCGTAGTGTACGCTGTGTGTTAATGAACAGCACGCTCTAAATATAGCGCTTGTGCTTCGATTGGAGTCTTGTATAGCGAGATACAGCTGGTGGGGTGTTTATCTTATCACACCGGACGGTGGATACTATGCGTTGTTCACCCCACCGACCGTGGCACCACCAAACCTTTATCGTTCGGCCTCACCATAAGTCCCACCATAGACCTGCAACGTAGCAACACACTCTTTTGTCAATGGGAGAGTTACGGGGGCAGATCCAGCAGTGGGTCCATGGTGGTGTTTAAGGAAGCCTTCTGCAAGAAAATAGAAGGCAGTGTTCGCTACCCACATCAGGTGTTTGGCGCTATGCCGCGAGATTTCCTGGCCTGTTCGCGGCCCCAAATGCTGCCAGTGGTTGTGCCCCGTGCGTGCATCCACCTCAAACTCATGAAGGTACTTGTGTGTCAATCGTAGCCTTGTAGAGGAAGATCCAGCTGGTGGGGTCCATGACGTTTTCTATATGTACCCACCAGGGGCGTAGCGGGGAATGTTACCTACCATCCGTGGCACCACCAAAAAATGTGCTGTTTCGGCCTCACGATGGGTCCAATGATACCCCTGCAACGCCGCAACACATTCATTGACGTCCTGTGCTGATTGGAGCCTTGGAGAGCGAGCTACAGGTGGTGCACCTGTAGCCATTCGGCTACGCTGCCAGGGTGGGGAGATGTTACCCTGGCAAGATCGCCCTAAAAGACTACCTTGCAGGCTTGACCCGGCTGCAAGGTGGTTACCCTGCCAGGGTACCGATCCCACACCCTGTGCGTACCCTGCCACTAAGGGACCCTCGCGGGGTACACACCCTGGGAAAACCCTGTACAAATAGAGTCCCTCTCGCTTGTAATAACGTCGCGGAAAAAATGGAGATTTTCCCTTTGATTTCTTCCATTCATCTTCTTGTCGCGTCCATCGCAGCAGTATTTCGTGCTCCTACACTTACAGAAACGCTTATCGCTCATCGACACCATTTTCAATAGGATACATCCCAAAACACAATCCATCAATAAAAATCCACGATATTGGGGCTCACAACCCAAACTTGGACGACCACTTTCGACATTGCAAAACGTAGTCACGACGTGCGCCAACCAACCAACTCAGAACGCACCGTGAACCACACGATCTATGAACATAAAGCCCAAACATGACCCAAAACAAATGTATCAACCCATCCCTTCACTACCAAAAAATCGCACCCCTTACCTTCAGGTTCACGCAACTTGCATGTACCCGCTCAAGCCCACATTCCTGTGCATACGGAATCAACTCAACGAAGTTAAGCTCCGACCAAACCTACCTGCCTCTTGTTCGTAGCACCTCCGTAATGGGGTGCCCTTCCCCCCGGCGACACGCAAAACAACCTCTGCGTTTTGTGTATCACGTTCAAGATACGCACGCACTTGTCGAACTGGAGGCGTATGACGCGTGCCTCGATAACACACCGTGACAAAAGAAAAGTGCGACCTCTCCCCGAGATAGACTGCCTAACGATTATTGTCGAACCCTATGTACAAGCAACCTGCTCCCTCCCACTCCTACCAAACACCACACCAAGCGCTGAGTCCGAGAACATTGCCAGCAATTTCGCGACCCATGCGGATGCTGAGCGCTGATCCGTCCATCTCGTCGAGAAATGCGCCGAGCTCGGCATCGTCGACGTGCACGCCTGCAGCCGGGGTGTCTTCCACGCTGAGATTGTCGTCCCCGCAGGCGTGCGGGGACAGTAAGCGCATGATCTTGGGGTTCCCGTAGTGCGACTTGGCGATAGTCAGGAGTCCGGAGGCTATGCGACGCGGGCCCGTCATGAACCGCAGCATGTAGTACCAGAACCTGTTTCAAAGCATGTAGGGAAAGGGAAGGCATGGATGCGCAACGACATGAAACAAAAAGTTCATGTTTGATTCCAGACCGGACGAAAACTCGATCAGGTGGGGTGACAAGCAAAATGCGCGACTAGCATCAAGAACACGAGAACAATACTGTTGTGTTCCGTGACGTACAATATGGAAGTGAACGATTGTCTTCGTAACAGCGCAAGAGTAGGAGGTGAGGGGGAGGGGTCTGAGAAAACGAAAATATCAGCCCCGGGGAGGCTCAAAGGAACCACAACCCCCGCCGGACACTCGGATTGGGAAGACCGAGTATTCCGTATACCTTCCTCAAAAAACACGAAAAACAAGTGGCCACGGTCCAGTTACCGTAGAGATCATGGTGAAGAAGCCGGGAGGATGGAAGCAGAAACTGTGGAAGGGACACAAGTTGGAGCTGCTGCTGTTTGGGATTCCAAGAGACATGACGAGGATAGAGTACACTTGCGGAACGGCAGCGCGACCAGCGATGGAATCGCAGCCCAAGCATCCGAGGCGCGAAAGCGTCAGCACTACGCTCGTCCGGGACACGTGTCCTTTGACGAAGGCAGCTATAAACTTACCACCTTAGCCGTGGAAAGCTTTGGCCGCCTTGGAGAGGAGGGTTACGAGTTCATCGATGAACTTGCGACACATGCCGTGGGAGGAAGGGACGGAGGAACGATGGCTCTGAAAGGAGTCTTCAAGGAACGACTTCTTCAGATCGTTTCGGTGGCTACACAGGTGGCCATATCTCGGCGAGTGCAGAGGTACAAGCTCGCATTGCGCGGGCGTCAAGACGCCGAAAACAGGCGAACAAGATCGACCTCGGACCAGTCAACGCCAATGATATGGGGATGGAGTGTAGACGCATCGTAGAACGCGTTTTCGTTTGAAGTTGGCGTCTTGTTTGAGAGTAGATGTGACAGATTTGCGTAGAATAGGGTAAGATGTTATCATGAACGGAGA